GGGGGGGGGGGGGGGGGAGGAATGAGGGGAGAGGCAGGGGGAAATTTCAGGAGAAGGGAGGGTGAATGATGACGAGAAGGCGGTAGCAGCTGCAGACTGCGCTTAATATTATCGCGCACTGTTAAACATCAGAGGGCACAAACACTTTGTTTATAATAAATTTGATGAATAAATTAATGATCCCCCGTTGGCCTCACCAGCCGTGAATGCCCCACTTCTCTCGGTGATTTTTGTCAAAGGGCTCCAAGGGCTTGGTGCACACACGCGACAAAACGACACCAGGTGGGCTATTGCACGAATACGATTGACGATTAACGACAATACGAAGGTCGAGATTGTGTCACGGGCGTTGGTATCAACTCCAGATAATTATGTACTGTTCAGCCATATGATTGTTTAGTTTTTACTGATGATACTCCGTGTCACTGGGCATTAAAATTAAATGGGAATCTGTTGAACGTTTGGACGAGTGATTATTCACGGTGGAGTAGTTGTGCGACACTCGTTGTTCCTCTCGTGAGGGAGAAAAACTAAAATTTGTTGGCCGTCGCGCGTTCAAATTGGAAACACTTTGTGCATGTGTTAATGCACAACACGCGTATAATCGGGTAAATGTATGTCGTGTACGGATACACGTATGTGGGGGGGGGGAGAATGTGTGAATGGTTGTCTATATGCACTCGATGAATCTAGGATGTTTTTTTTCGCTCTTTCGTTTATTCTCTCGTGAATGTTGGAATTTCGGGGGGGGGGGGGNGGGGAGGGGGCGCACGGGTAATGGGGGCCACGGAGATACGACGGGATAACCACACGTCGTTCACACGAGCGATACCACCGTAACCACCACGACGCACCGTGACTCGACACCCACGGTCGACCACGCCGCTAAATTCTACTACAAGATGTCTGGTTCTGCTTTCTGCTCCGCGGGCACGAGCACTGACGATTAATCCACCAACTTTGGATTTACCGCGCATACAACACCGCGCAACAATCATTCGAGGTCACGGGAAGGTCTTTTGCGGCCGCCAGCAGGCGCTAGGTTACATGCGTACTCTGTCGGGTTTTGTGTGGGTGGGCCGGGGGGTGAGGGTGGGAGGGCGAGGCTTGGGGAGGTTACGGAGAGATGGCGGCACTGGGCTGTCTGGGGATTTTTTTAATTTTCCCGGTTGGACGGGAGCTTTTGGGTCGCGAAGAAATGGAACTTTTCATCACGCTGTGCCGAAAAGTTCACTTTTCGTCACAGCGTGATGAAAAGTCTAATTTCCGCCACATTGTGATGAGAAATATTGTTCGTAACTCGTGAAAAAATGTTTTTTACACTCGTTACGAAATATACTATTTCTGTAGTGATTTTCAAGTTTCCGAGTTTGGGAAGTATGTAATACCAATTCCCAGACGAAAAATCGTGAGAAGCAGTACAGAAAAGTGCTTTTTCATTCACCTCGTGCCGAAAAGCGCTTTTTCATTCATCTCGTGCCGAAAAGTACTTTTTCATTCACCTCGTGCCGAAAAGTGCCTTTTCGTTTACTCGAGAAGCTTTACGCAACTTTGCGCATGCTCGTGAACTTTACGCACGCTGTGCGGAAAACAACCGCTTTACGCACACTAAACCGTTTCGAAAAGTGTACTTTTGAGACAGGTATCACAAAATAGTACATTTCGACACTAGGCCGCAAGGAACTTTTCTGGTGAATATTCGGTTACAGGACGAGCCGACGACGAATTCTGTAATCATATGAGGTAGAAATGTTCTTCAATATTTTTTGTCATCGGGGCCGAAAAGCGCGATTTAACAGAGCGAAGTTAAAAGCGCGGTTTGTCGGGCCTAGTGACCAAAAATATATTGACAATTTTTTTATATTCATCGAAGAAGACTTCAATGAGGATCATCACATAATTTAATAATATTGATATTATCAACACTCTTAACCTCTTTTAATGTTACAATCCATTAAACAAAAAATTTCAATTTTGTATTTTTTTATTACCATTAACCCTTTTCTGAATGCAAAAATTCTCCTGTTTTTTTTACAGAATTACCACCTAGATTTCATCAATAATTTGAATGATAATTAAATACAATCGGAAATTGTGAGAAAAAAAGAGAAATTGCTCTCAAACAGCCTAGACTCCTTTGAATTGAAAAACATTCAACTCTCCGTTCACCAATGTCAATTATTTTCAGTTTAAAATTCCAACTTGGGTCGTTTATCCACCCACTTCTTGATGCTGGGAATATTCAAAACCTTATCTCTGATGGCCCTGAGATGAGGTCTACCCTCTGTGATGTCAATGCTGCAGGCATTTGCCAGAGAATCGTGAATGGCAGTGAAGAAAATGTCAGCATAACTCAACTATCACAAAGTAAAAAAAATTAAAATTCCAAGATCTTATACAGACCTTCATGACGACCACTAAAATGATAACTCACCTCGCCACCACGGAAATAACCACCATTACTCTTCGCACGTTCTTCTAATTTATCCAAATAAAACGGAACAACATTCTTAACAGTTTGTTCCCTCTTCTTTTCCCTAAGCACAGGATCTTCTTCACGATAGAACATAGCGACCTCTGTAACAAACCTCATCGTCACCATCAACATCAATCATGTTGTAAGATGTAAGAAACCCTACGAACGTTTTCTCAAGTCATGGAGAGCAGCCGCAACAGCATCAATCTCCAATGAATCCAGATCGGTCTTTCCAATTAAATTCAACCGTTTAGCGAGATATCTACAAATTGGTAATGTCTGAGAGAAGGGTTTGCCATCTATCTCCAAGACCGGCAATTGACCAAATGGTGTAGCTGAATAAAATAAGAAAGACTTTACAATCCTTCAAGTTGAAAGAAAACTATGAAAGAGGAAGAGGAATCCAATTTAGGCGAATTTAGGGGTGTACAAATATTTTTAAGTCATACTTAAGCTTGAATCATATGCAAACTTGATGGATTGTAAGCGAAGTTCGCTTAGAATCTATCTCTAAGACGGGTCAAATCTATCTCATCTATCTCTAAGATTGACCAGAGGGTGTAGTTGAACCAAATAAGAAAGACGTTACAATCCTTTAAGTTGGAGAAAAGTAATGAAACAAGCGGAAAAATACTTTTAAGTCATGTGCAAACTTGTTTCCACTTGGTAAAAGTTTGATAATATGATTGTTTGACCCTTAAACCCTCAAAAAATCTCTAAATTGAATTGTTCGCTGTCGAATAGGTCACTTAGAATCCATCGCCAAGATCGGCAATTGACCAAATGGTGTAGCTGAACCAAATAAGAAAGACGTTACACTCCTTCAAGTTGAAGAAAAGTAATGAAACAAGCGGAACATCAAATTTAGGCAAATGTAGGGGTGTACAAATACTTTTAAGTCATGTGCAAACTTGTTTCCACTTGGTAAAAGTTTGATAATATGATTGTTTGACCCTTAAACCCTCAAAAAATCTCTAAATTGAATTGAACAGTTCACTTAGAAGAAGAATTTCTTACTTGGCTTTATTCTAGGCCATTCGTTCTCCCGATCCATGACACGAATATCTTCAAACTCATCACCACCGTAGCTCAGGAGGAATCGTATAGGCTCGCCCAAGCCCATCACATTAAAGTACGTTAGTTTGTACTGTGACATGTTGACACAATTTCCAAATATTGGACTCTGTGGATGACACGGGTGTGGCCGGCTCAATATCGCGGGCTTCGGCAATAACTTTTTTTATCTTCGGAGGAATATAACGAACGGTCTATGATCGCAATCAATGAACAATCGATTTCAATGGATCCAGAAGCCAGTGACAATTCAAATAATGGATTTAATCTTGATGAGTGAAACGGGGAGTTTTGTTTGATCAACACTATCAGACGCCTGCACTATCGGAAGCTACAGCATGTAGAACGAGTTTTTTAAAGGCGACCCTTACATTCCCCTTCTCCAAACATTTTCAACTTCCACGTTCTCCCGAATGGGCATGAACTACAGTTTCTCCGGGTAAAGTATACTCACGACGATGCTCACTAATCTAATCTCCCCTGCGTTCTTGTGATATTTTGGGAGAGCCAAAGAGCCCCAATATTTTTCTTTAATTATGATGAAACCAACAGGATGTGGGATAAAAATTGTTGAGATGTTTGATTGAAGTGGGGAGATGTGAAATTGGATTTGAAGATGTGAATGATTTACAGGTTTTTGCTTCTTAGGAAGATTGATTGTCAGGAATTTTTTTTAAATTGAGCAATAGCTACATTTGAATTCTCAATGTTGTGAACTTGAATTCAATTTACGGTCAAATCATTTATGGAATCTCTGATTCAACTTGGAAATTTAGGATAATTGGGTTTTCCATGTTAGATTATCATTGAGATTTCAATGGCATCTAGATTTTTCAAACTCTTGTGGAAATTGAATATCACATCCAACTGAATTTTCAGTGGATGGAAAATTTAGGAAAATTGTTGCTCGAATTTTCAAAATATTTAATCATTTTCTCCAGAATTCAACTGATTTTTCAATAACAAAATATATGAAAATTTCTTGTGAATGAGGGATTGTTAATTAATTCAAGATTATTTACTTGAAACTTCGGGATGATTTCTTCCAATTTTGTTACATCTTTTATACGCAATTATTAATCAATAGTGAATAGATTATTGATCAATTCCCATGGAAATTTCATTCTAGTCAGGTAGTCTAATAAAAAAAGTAATAAGGGTCATAAAAATTCCTAAAAATTTTCGATTGATTGAATAACATTGAGTCATCAATCGATTGGTTCCCCCTCTCACCCTATCACCATTCCTCTCACGATAATGAAAGTGACACATCAAATCGCTAACTTAACACAGGCCGCTTCATTCGAATTTATGAAAGCCTACTCAGTTGTTAAAAAATTCGCAGTAGCGAGTGTTGAAGGTCCGGCCATCAAACCTGATCATCAGGTACTCCAACACAACGACGAATTTTCTTTCCACAATGGAGAGAAAATTCTATCACAATTATTAGTCAGTGGAAGATCATTGATCAATTCCCATGAAAGTTCCTTTCTAGTCTAGTAGCCTAGTCTAATAGAAAAACGCAAGGAGTGTCATAAAAGTTCCTAAAAATTTTCGATTGATTGAATAACATTGAGCCATCAATCGATTGGTTCCCCCTCTCACCCTATCACCATTTCTCTCACGATAATGAAAGCGACAAATCAAATCGCTAACGTAACACAGGCCGTTTCATTCGAATTGATGAAAGCCTACTCAGTTAAAAAATTCGCAATAGCGAGTGTTGAAGGTCCGGCCATTAAGCCTGATCACCAGGTACCGCAGCATGACGACGAAGGTTCTCTACACAGTGATAGTTTATTCCAATAAACAACAACGCCTCATAATCGCATGTCACCCGCGTCATGACACGCATCATTACAGAGGTATTGTGATATCTGCAATGCAAGACTTGACGAGCATTGAGGAGGACCGAATAAGCATCACTCGTGATAAGTAAATTGATAAAAACATTCTCATTGATGATTTCTCATGGATCAATAACTCGTTAGATTCACGGTTCACCTGTTGTTCGGAGAATTGTGGTATGCCTGCTTGACGCCAATCGAAGGATCACCTGTAGAGGCGTCACAAGTTGCATTCGAAGCTCAGGGATTTTTGAAACACGTGAGATCTGTCTACCGAGAGCTGCCTATTCTGGCGGATCTGTCGAGAGAGTTGCCTAACAGTTCGGCCGGCGATCTCTCCCGTCCTTTGGGCAAGATCATGGTAATTTGGTGACATGAAACTGGTTTTTTTTTGTGATATTGTCAGGTTTTCTGACGCAGGAAGACTACGGACACGATACTATCGTGAATATCACGCCGAAAGTTCATCAGGAACTGCAGGATATTAGAACGATCTTGTTGGATTCCGTGCAGAGACTCATTGACAGGGGCGAGAGGCTTGATGAGTTGGTGAAGAAGGCGCAGACGTTAGAGATTACGGTAGGCAATTTCCAATGTTAGGGAGTTGATAATTCAAATTAAAATATTAAAGTCTCAAAATCACTAAGCAATCAGAAAAAAATGAAATGTCAGAGACAATTCAATAGGAATTTTCAGGAAATTGACATTGAATTCTTTTAGATTCTCTTACATTTTCCTGATTTCTATAAATTTTTATGCAATATTTGATCTAAAATTTACTATTTGGAATTTTTTATGACGAAATTCACCAGTTTAATACCCAATTAAAGACGATGATTACTGTTGCAGGTGCGAAAAGACTTCCGCCTGACGCCAAAATCCACCAAAGACAAAAATAAAAATTGCTTCGCTCCATTCGCAGCCGCTGTAATGCTCATATCAAGTTTGGCATTCGCAATTCTCTTGTACATCGAAATATTTTCGTAATCCTGTGTTTTTTGTAAACAAATTAAAGATGCCAGGGGAATTGAATTTAATAAATTTTTGCGTATCGAATGTTTTGGCAGCACTACTTGCAGGGTCTTGAAGTCAAGCGATGACCTGGTTATCAGGATAACCTTTCGGTGAGATTATTGGAAATTAATCGTTCAAGTGAACACGTAGGCTCAGCGAAAAAAAAGTCTCGATTTCCAGGGACATTATCACTAACTTTAAGAGTAATGTGACTGATTTTGCGGAATCCATCGCCAAATTTCGGTGATGAAATCATTTAGGATTTGAACATCTTAAATTTTTGGCGGTTCGATATTCCTCAGACGCTTTTACGGCAGAAACTGAGTTATCGGCGGTTGAGAATCGACCGACTGAAGACAAACATTGAAATATCGACGATGAAATTGCAGGATTCTGGGGTTCCCTGCATTATCCACAAATAATACGAATTTAAAAAGAGTTTGATAAGGATTTAAACGACTTATTCTACTTTATTCTCCGACTAATTAAAATTTATGCAAATAAATTGAACGATTGCACAACAGCAGCTACGGGTCAGAAGACTAATTGATGAATTATTCATCTCGTCATAATGAAAATTTAATTAAATCAGTAGCGAAGCGGTAAAACGTTTCAAGTCGACGCAGTTCTGAGTTATCGAGGAATATCTCCGAATCTAAGGCAGATAACGAAATTTTCGTAATGACCTTTTTTGTAGCCCTCAATGCGCTCTACAGAAAAGGTCATGACGAAAATTCTTCCATCTCCCTCAGATTCCCAGATATTCATTGAAAACTGGACTCCTTGAAGTCCATCGCTCATTAACGATCTAATTGAAGATTTCGTTTGCTGAGGCCCTCTAATCTGGATCTCTAGGGAGTCAATAGAGAACACAACAAAATCATTCACTTGATATCATCCACTACCCAATCCTCTAATTGTTTTCGTCGGTGAGTTGGGGTCGCGTGCCACTCAGAACTTCCGCCTTGACTTGCAATATACGACTGATGCCGTTGTTCTTGGCGTCATTAAGGCGGATACACCAGCATTATAACAGCGCTGTATGAGCTCCATTGTAAAAGCATCTGTCGTTTCGACAAAGTACTATATTTCAGTGAAAGCCGGGGCAAAGTCGCTCGGTAGGACTGTATCAAGGGCGGGAAATCGGAAATTGATAATTCATTTTTTATTCATTCGCCACGAGTGTCCGGTGAAATCTACCCTAGATGAAAAAAAAAATAATTCAAGTTTCAAAGACTGCTCCACAGTTTCCCCGATGAAGATTTTATTCGAATTTAATTAAACTATATTTTTACTGGATTTTATTCAGATCAAATTTTTTTTTTTCAAACTGAACAAATGTTTTTTGATCCAAATGAAGACTCGATTAGTTAAAAATGAAATAATTATTCAGACGAACAAGGAAATTAAGTTGGAACAATGTAACAATTCTCTATATGCATCAAATAAAGAGTTTCCTTTTAATCCAATGCACACTGATAGAACGGATTAGTTATTGTCAACGAATGGATTTTGGTTGGAGGTTGCGGTCTATTCGGTCTCACCAAATGTTCATTCGTTAATAGTTAACGAATGTATATTTGAGGAGCCTTGTTTGACTTGACTTTCGCCATTCAAGTGAACCATTCGTCAACTATTAACGAATATTCATTTCGTCACATTCAGCTCTACCATTCGTTAAGTCAACGAATCTCGTTTGGAATGAATGAATCGTTCTATCAGTGCATCAATTCTCTGAATGCCGATTGAAAGAATCAACAATCAATGATCTCGCGATGTCTTTAACCTGCCGTCCAGGCACCCCACACCAATCTCATTATCAACCCATCAGCTGGCACTCGTCATCTCGCCCCCACCCCTCAAGACCCTCAACCACCACCTCCAACACTCTTCGAAACTTCACATCTCCCGCGTTTGTTGCACACCGTATGTGCAGGTATGCGAAACGAGGGGCACGATCCCTCAAAGAGGTCTGGAGATACGTCCAGTGGTTGAAAGAGAGAGAGAGAGAGGGGGGGGGGCACGTTCCCTTAGCGCCAGAATACCAGACCAATGGCACCAGGTGTACGTTATCTAGGGATGAGCTCGAAAATGAGGTACCATATGTTGATGCATTTTGAAAAAAGGAGAAAAAAAAATACGCCCCGGCACGCGCCACATTTAAACACGAGCCACTATCCAGTGAGGACGAGACTCTTGTCGGTGTACATCAAGTGTCATCAGTACTCCCCAGTGAGGATTAACGTTTAGTGTTCGATCGAGGAGATGTGCGATGTCTTCGGGATTTCGTCGTTCATTTGGAGACGAATGATCCGAGCAATCGGGGAGAGTTGAGAGGATTTTTGGGGAAAATTGAGGAGTTGAATTATGGCATTGCTGTCTAATGCCCCCAGCATGTACCAGTCTTCGTCCTCGGAGATGCTGATGCCCGCCTATTCAACAGTGAGGCCCTACGAACCACTCTATCCCTCACCCTACAATTCACCGGATTACGATCACATTGCGGTTAATTACAATGATCACAATGCTGTCGATGTCATGATGACTCCTAGGCGAAATGTCGAGTGCAATGACAGTTACAATGGTGATAATTGCCACGAGTATGTTGTACCCGATGGATACGAGAGAGAGTCTTACGGTCTTCTGACACCAGTTACACCGCAGAGGTATGTACCGAGTGTGGGGAGAAATGACGAATTTTAATTTGATGAAACTGTTCATTCGGAGTTTTTCTGGTCACTTCAATGATTTTTTTCGTTGTGGAAGTCGATTAATTTCTTTGGTGGAGGGTTTATTCATACTTGAACTTGATTTTTGTCTGCGCTGAGTGTTGAATTAATTCAATACGGCAAAAGTAAATAAAAGTAAATAAAAGTAAAAAGTAAATAATTTCGACGAGGGGACGATTTATTTCTGGAGAAAAAAAATTTCTTTCCTCGTTAAATATAAATTTCAGCAGAACTAATTTTTTTTCTCAGTTGAGCCCTTTTTTTCACTCAAAATAAATAGTTTTGTTTAAATAATTGTTTCGTTTTGTTTAATATGAACGAATGTTTTTTTTATCCAAACGAAGACTTCAATCAGTTAGAAATGAAATAATTATTCAGCCGGGAAAGTAGAATTGATTCATTAAGATGGAATAATTCAGAGAAGTGACGCGTTTTAATTGAATGAAATTATCATTTCGAGCTATTTAAATCAATCCATGTAAATCCAATAAATTCATGTGAGTCGAATATAGTCTATTTAATTCAAATAAATAATTTCTCTTTTTTTGATGAAATCGGTTTTGGCCGGAGTTGAGTGGAAGGTTTAACCATTTGTTTTTCATTTGAAGATTCACCTCACATAGTTCCGTGGAGGAGAACTCAATGGATTATCAAGCCCCTGTGTACTGCTATGAGACGTCCCAGGAGATTGGATACAATGTGAAACATGACAGGAATCAAGACGTTGGGGATTCGAGAAAAAATTATTGGGAGCCAGCACCGGTAAGCCCATTTGATTTATTTACCCCGAAAAAGGAGTGTTTTATGTCATTGTCTTCACCAAAATTCAGTGAAAAATAATTAAACAAGAGTTCTAGGAAAATTTCCCAATTTGATCTTTAATTTAATTTTTTTCTGCGCATTCAGCGATAAAAAATTCTAAAAATTCACTATTTAAACAGTTTTTTGAAATTTTTGAGATCACCTGTTCCCGGAAACTCAGATTTTATTTAAAAAATCAAAAAAAATTTTTTAGTTTCTCTAAAACATATGAAAAAGAGAAGGGACAGGGGCATTTGAAAGCAATGAATTCCTGATAAGCATCAATTATGAATAAAAAATATAATTAATAGGTTCAAGACTCACCGACGTCGAGCCCTCGACGAGGGAGACGAAGATCCCGCGATGTCCCGCCATCACCAGGTGTTCTCAAACGTCGAAGACTGGCAGCAAACGCGCGGGAACGTCGCAGAATGAACGGCTTGAACGATGCATTCGATAAATTGAGGGAAGTGGTGCCGAGTCTCGGGGCTGATCACAAATTGAGTAAATTTGAGACACTGCAGATGGCACAGACCTACATTGCCGCACTGTGCGATTTGCTCGAGCGGCACGACAACGAACACTGAAACAGTAATTATTAGGATTTCTAGCATTAATAGATGTATATTTGCGTGGTTATTATTGACAATGGTTTCCGGTTTTTTTCCTGTGAAAAATCGCCCGGAGAATCTACTTCAAGTCGACAAATTTTTGGCATTAATTGCTCCATTTTTTCCCTTTTAAGAGAAAAAAATTGATTCAATTAGAATTTTTTGAAAAAACAACAAACTTCAAGCAAAGTTCCACGTGGGAAAAATTCGTCAGGAAAATTAAATTCAAATTGAAGAACTCACCGCGAAAAAAACGTCATTTTCGTAAATTTTTGTTATTAACTTTTTCATTTTTTCCCTTTTAAGAGAAAAAAAAAAATTCAATTAGCTGTTAAAAAAAAAAGAAAAAAACTAAGTAAAATTCCATATGGGAAAAATTCGTCAGGAAAATTAAATTCAAATTAAAGAACTCACCGCGAAAAAAACGTCATTTTCGTAATTTTTTGTTATTAACTTCTTCATTTTTTCCTTTTTAAGAGAAAAAAAATTCAATTATGATAAAAAAAAATTGAAGCAAAAAAACGCAATTCTCGTACATATTTTAAATTAAATTTTTCATTTTTTTCCTTTTTAAGAGAAAAAAAAATTAAATTGGCATTTGTTTGGAAAAAAACTCCAAGCAAAATCCCAGCTGGGAAAAATTAGTAAAGAAAATTAATTTCAAAGGAGATAATTCACCGATAAAAAATTAACGGATAAAAAATTTCCTATAATTTTCCGACGGGGAAAAATTAATTTGCACAAAAAATTTTCAAGAGAAAAATTCCCCGATTAAAAATTGACGGGGAAAAAATTTCCGGGAATTCGTCAATGGGAAAAAAATAACGGCCACCGTTGACAGCATGAATTATGCCATACCGTAAGCACGAGACAGCTAAGAGACCAAAGATTGTGTGGTAATATTGCGAGATTTATCGAGAATTCAATTCTCTGAACTCGATAATAAAATAGTCCATAAGATTTCTTAAACAATAATAAGTGCCTAGAGTTCATTAGAGTACCAGATGGCATGAAATTGTATTCAAGTTTTGTATTTTTGTAATGGATTTACTCGATTGTTTGTTTTGCTCTAGTCAAAGGCTATATTTACAGTAATTTTTATTATTTAAACTAATGATATTGAGGCATGAGTATTTTTTTAAGATGTACCAATCATCACCAAAGTGATTTGTAAATAAAATTACCCCTGATTTTGTAAAGTAATTAATTTGAATGTATTGTTTATGAAATTGTGAAATAAATAAATTTTGTATGGAATAAAACAGTTTATTGATCAAAATCACTTGCAAATTAATTATTCCGTTTATTAATTAGATTTTTATTTTCATTTTTATGTATTTATTTTATTTATTTTGTTACATTCTGTTCTATTTTGTCATTATTTTTTTGTGAATAAACGCTAATGACAAAAAAACGAAGAAATAAAAGAAATAAAATAAAAAATTCAGTGATTTTCTCAATGAACTAAATTGTAGGGACTGCCAATGCCTCAGTTTCCTCTCTAAAAAAAATACTGAACCTCGTTTGCGGAACTTCCTTCCTTCCTCCCAAATTCAAAGAGAAGCGTATCACTATGAGACATGTTGGTAAGCCACGAGATCCGGCGTGAAAAACTGCAGACCACAGGGAACAATCCGAGGATGAAAGGTATGCAGAACAAAAAGAAAGAAAGCATTTCCCTGTACACATGTGGAATTGAAATAATTCATACCAACGGAATTGACCCAGTTGACAGATTGATAAATCTCGAGTTGAAGATATCCAAGTACCTTCACTATTTATTCAATTTAATTTCTTAATTTTTTTATTTGGTGTTTCATCTATGATAAAATGAATTTATTCATATTTTTTAATCTTCAGGATATCAAGTATCTTTTACAGTTTAGTTTTCAATCATTTTGAATTATCAAATTTGTCAATTAAATTATGGGAGAAAAATTTGAAGAAAAAAACATAAATATTTAGCGTCATTTCAATTACATTTCGCACAGAATTATAATTTTTTTAAGCATTTGTTGTTTATAAATAAATAATTGAAATTGTTTAAACCTTTGAAGTCCAATCTTTTTAAACATGAAATTGATTTCTGGTAAAATTCTGAATATCAATAAATTTGTTACGATTCTGAACAAATAATTTTTATCGTGAAAAATTTATTGTTTATAAATTACAAATTATTCATTATTAATTATTGATTATTCGTTGTTTATTGATTATAAGTTATAATTTATTCAATAAATAATGTTCAATACTTTAATTGACCTCAAAATTCAATTGGGTTCCATTCAAAGTGAATAAACTTTCTTGAAATCAAACAAATCGTTCATTTACTGTTGATAGAGGATTTATACAGAATAAATGAATTATTTATTTCATATAATTGAACCATCCCGTCGATTAATAAAGAAAATAGATCGAAATGATGAAAAAATTGCAATCAATAAATGTAAGAAAAAAATAGTTCTATTTTCTATTTTTAAACGCGTCACTCCTCTGTGTGCACTGACCATTTCACCCCATCATTCAAAGGAAATAAAAGAGTTTCGTAAAACGAAGGAAAAAAGAAATGGGTGGAAAACAACAGTGACATGGCGCATTGACTGAGTAGTCACTGGGGTCAAGGGGTTTGACTGATCAGCCTCTTCAAAAGAATCGACCGGTTAAATCGATTTCAGGCGTAATTTTGGTTGACCATGGCGAGCTACGCCCACTGTAACACAAAATAAATTAGCAGTTTTCCCTGAAAAAAAAAAAGAAATTCTGAAGGCTTTCGTCGCTGCACACCACCTCAAACTATAATACTTCCCAAAAAATATTTTTCGAGAACGAAAAATCTCTCCCGGAAAACTATTTCTGTCCAATCGATAATTATGAATGATATGACGAAATTGATGAATGAGTTGACCATAAAAAACTGTTTTCTCTCCAATTTTTTCCGCACCACGAGAAAAAAAAATTGATGCAGTAGCTTCAGGTAGCGAGAGAGGGTTATCTCGCTGGCCTTATGGTGTGAAGAACGGAAAACCTCGTGAGTAAATATTTCTAATATTTCACCGCCACCTGACACCCTCTCATACAGCCCCCGAATTCCCGCAGAGGGCGATTTTTTTTCCACTTTCCTTCAGATAAAAAATTTCACCGCTGCCGATTTCCCTGTTTCTGTCTCGAGCCGTCTAGCCACCAGAGAGGAAAAAACAACCGAGATGTATCGACTTCCGATCGATTAGGATCTTCGGAAGCAAGACTGCGTCGAAGTTCACTCACAACAGGACAATTTAGTTATCTCGGGTCGACAATTTGTCGGAGGAGGTAGTGGAATACATCAACAAGATAATTATTTCAAAGACGATAAAAAAATTAGTGGATCGAGAAAATTGACGAAATCGCATCGGAAGAGATTTTTTATTCGGAATATTTGTGGTCGTTGCAACTGTATTTTTTGTTTAACATTAATAAATGCATTTATTGTAATGGAGATGTTGCAATTTTATTAAATAAATAATTCATTCATTAGAGAGGAACTCTTCATTTGGATCCCAAAAATGTTTGTTCACGTTTAATAAACGATTTACTTGTGAAAGAGGAATTTATTAAATTTATTTATTTAAATTATTTGAAGAACTAAATTGATTACACTTGAACAAATTCTTTTTCCGCTTTCTAACTGATTTTTCCACTTCTAACACCTGAAGTCTCCATTTAAAAAATTATTATTCTTATTCTTATTACTATTTACTTATTTACTTATTCTGCGAATTGATATATGATATCATTTTTGCAGGGGATGATATTATTATTATTATTATTATTATTATTATATACAAAAAAAATCCTTTGATATGGATCAAAGCTTCATCGCAATTTTTTAAAATAAACCTAAAAACTTTGAATGAACAAAATTCTACCTAAATCTACCTATTCATCCAAAAAATCCATCTGTTCTAACATTTCCTTACAAAAACAACTGGATGAAATATTCGAAATTTGGGGATGGTTTTTTTTTCTGAGCCATCCCGAATTCACCAATCTTTTCAACCCCTCAAAAATAGAGTATCTCAATGCCGCACATGTGAAAATTTGTTTTATTTGTTATTTGCTTCGATTTCTAATTGATTACTCTATTTCTAACACATCAAGTCTCCATTTTTTAAAATTATTAGTTTATTTATATTCAATAAATTACTCATTTGATATAACTAAAAACTCCATCACAATTTTTTTAAACAAACCGATTTATTCAATTCAAATGAAGCATTTCTCTGGATTTTCTCTTCAATTTATGAAACATTGCAAATGAAATAGTATGTAATCATCCGAAAATTCCATCTGTTCTAACATGTCCTTACAAAAACAACTGGATGAAATATTCAAAATTTGGGGATGTTTTTTTTTCTCTGAGCCATCCCGAATTCACCAATCTTTTCAACCCCTCAAAAATAGAGTATCTCAATGCCGCACATGTGAAAATTTGTTTTAGTTGTTATTTGCTTCGATTTCTAATTGATTACTCTATTTCTAACACATCAAGTCTCCATTTTTTTTAAATTATTAGTTTATTTATATTCAATAAATTACTCATTTGATGTAACTAAAAACTCCATCACAATTTTTATAAACAAACCGATTTATTCAATTCAAATGAAGCATTTTTCTGGATTTTCTCTTCAATTTATGAAACATTGCAAATGAAATAGTATGTAATCATCCAAAAATTCCATCTGTTCTAACATGTCCTTACAAAAACAACTGGATGAAATATTCAAAATTTGGGGATGATTTTTTTTTCTGAGCCATCCCGAATTCACCAATCTTTTCAACCCCTCAAAAATAGAGTATCTCAATGACGCACGTGTGGAAATTTGTTGTATCGGTATAATAAGTGGCTGGGGAGTTGAATAGAAATACACACCTACCCCCAGTATTCAATTCCACCACGAGGCACTGGATTGTGCCACATGGCACGAGTCGCAACGCCC